ATAAATCACTTGCATATTTTCTCTCATATGTGGAACCTAGAATTAATTTATAAGTATATAATTAAACACTTTGGGTGATATATAAGTATACAGAAGCATATTAGCTGAAATATGGTAGATTCAGGGGAGAACTCAGTGTAATTCATTAGAAAGGCTAACTCATAGTCCACCTAAATGACACAAGAAAATTTGTACTCTGAAGGAGATAGGGCCAAGGAGAGAAGGGTAGATAAATGGAGAGAGGAAGGGGGGAGAATACTATCATAAAATTCAATGCAATTCCTACAAAATTATGAAAATTGAGGGAAGAGGTGAGGTTGGGAGGAATGTGGGAGAATGATCAAAGGGGGAGACACTAATCAGGATGCACTGTATTCATAAACTGCTTTGTTGGAGGGCACCTCCTTTGTACAACTATTTAAAATAATAATAATAATAATACTGTACACTTTCTTTTAAAGAAATCACTGGCCATCACACCTATAGCCAGTTCTTTAATGGCTTCAGTTAATGTAGGAGGGCTCACATGTCAGGAAGGGAGGATCATTGGGCTAGCCTAGAAGCTGGGTACAATAGTAGGTGAGAAAAAAAGTTACAAATGGAGACGAAGCTATGTGTTCACTCACCTAAAGGTAAATGCATACTGTAAAGCCTGGAAGAAACAGTGAGTACAATAGGAAGCTCTTTCTCAGGAGCAGTGACCATATGGATGACCTGTACTTCTTGTCCAGACAGAATGACTGATGGCTAGGCTAGAGTCTGGGATTGGTTTAGGCTTGAGCAATCTGGACTCTCCTTTTGGGCAAGGCATTACCTTGTTCCTTTTGGTTTGAAGCTTCAAATGAGTCCTAGGATAATGTGCCAGATTCCTGCCTTCTGGTTTCCCTCACTCTCCAAGCTGTGTCCCAAGGCTCATGGCAACAGAGCTGAGCGCTGATCTTGTTTTGTTCTTATAGCAGCATCTGTACTCTGAGTTGCCTGGGGGAAACCTGCTCCTTTAGGGTCTTTCCATATGGTAAGAAGAAGGGTAAAAATGTGGAGAAGGGTGGAAGAGAGAGTCACAAGCTCCTGGTATGTAGTGTTTTATGAATCAATTTCTTACTCGGTTATCATAGTGCTTTCAAGGACCAAGACCAAAAATGATATAATATTAATGCCAAGTGCTGATGGTTTATATCTGTATCCTAGATACTCTAGGATGAGATCTCATGGATCAAGGTTTGAAGCCAGCCTGGACAGTAAAATCTGAGAGACTCCATCTTCATAATAAACAGCAAAATTCTGGCTAGAGATGTGGCTAAAATAGAAGAGTATACTAGCAGGGCAAACAAGCTGAATGAGAGCATGAAGCCCTAAGAAAGGAAGGAAGAAAGAAAGAAAGAAAGAAAGAAAGAAAGAAAGAAAGAAAGAAAGAAAGAAAGAAAGAAAGAAAGGAAGGAAGGAAGGAAGGAAGGAAGGAAGAAAGGAAGGAAAGAAGGAAGAAAAAAAGAAAGGAAGAAAGGAAGAAGGAAGGAAGGAAGGGAGGGAGGGAGGGAGAGAGAAAGTGAATGCTAATGATTTGAAAAAACAAATCATGGGGGCTGGAAAGTTTGCTCAGTGGTAGAGCCCTTGCCTTGCATGCCTGAGGCCCTGGGTTTGATTCCTCAGCACCACAATAAGCAAAAAGAACAAAGCCGGAAGTGGCGCTGTGGCTCAAGTGGTAGAGCGCTAGCCTTGAGCTGAGGAGCTGAGGGACAGCGCTCAAGCCCAGAGTTCAAGCCCCACGACAGGACCAAAAAAAAGAAAGAAAAGAAAAAGAAAAAAAGAAAAAACAAATCATGGGATATATGTTTGCTTGCATTCATGAAAAATAAACTGTAACATTGCAGGTAATAAACCAAACTTGTTTTTGTGTTTCCTTCTTGATTTCATATATTATTGTTTCATAATGTTTATACTGTTTTTTACATTTAAAATTTCTACATGCTGCTGAATTGTACAATGAAAACTGCAAACATTGTGTTTTGAACAAAAGTTAATACTTTTTAAGTATGGCTCTACAGGTTCAATTTATTTGTTTAGTTATGAAAATAATAATTTATTACCAACTTCTTATATTAATTTCAGCTTCTACTGATAGTATGAGCAAATTTAATGTGTTAATTCTAAGAACCTCTTATCATTACTTTAGTAATGAGTTTAGTATGATTGATACAAAAATTTTTAAGCTGTGAAAATATACAGTATTGGCTATGAATCTAAGCTTGACCTTTGACTTGTGAACTAATTCTTAGAAATCAATTAGCAAATTAGTTTTTGTGTGTATATCTGATACTGGGGCTTGAACTCAGGGCCTCAAGCCCATGCTTTCCTTTTGTGCTCAAGGCTGACACTTTACCACTTGAACCACACCACTGATTCAGGCTTTTTGCTGCTTTATTGGAGATAAGAGTCTCAATGGAATTTTCTGTCCAGGTTGGCTTTGCAGAGAGGTTCTCAGATAGCAGCTCAGATTATAAGTGTGAGCCACCAGAGCTTTGCATTGTATATGTGTGCTACTCAGGAGGCTGAGATCTGAGGACCATGGTTGGAAGCCAGCTGAGACTGTTATCTCCAATTAGCTAGCTCAAAGTCAGAAGTAGAGGTGTGGCTCCAAGGGTAGTACACCAGCCTTGATAAAAAAGGAAAGTAACAGTACCAAGCCCCGAGTTTCTAGCCTCACTACCAGCACTCTACCCGCCCCCCCTCCAAAAAAAGAATTGAACACTGTACAGGCAAGCTTATTGCTCTCAATCTACCATAAATATTATAACATGATATAACATAAAGTCTATATTATAGCTTTATATAGTATAACTATAAAGTTTATGTTGCATTTATAGTTATAAGATTTATATTATATAAAGTTGTAATATTTTATATAAAATTATGTTCTTTAAAAATATATTATATAGGGGCTGGGAAGGTGGCTCAGTGGTAGAGAGCTCGCCTTGCATGCCTGAGGCCCTGGGTTCGATTTCTCAGCACCACATAAGCAGAAAAAAAAGCCAAAGTGGTATTGTGGCTCAAGTGGTAGAGCACTAGCCTTGAGCTGAAGAGCTGAGGGCCAGCATCCAGGCCCAGAGTTCAGGCCCACAACCAGACCCAAAAAAATAAAAATAAAAAATATATTATATAAAATGGCATGTAATATAATGGTGAACTGATCCATTTGCCAAAAGGTATAATACAGGGCTGTACAATTACTACTGTAAAATTGACAGGAGTCATTGTTACACTTCACTATGTTTTGGTCAGGAGTTTGAGTAGGGCTCTGCTGGGTGGCTCATTTGTTCAGTGTTGAGTCAGTGGAGGTCAGATTGAAAGCTACTTAACTGGTAAATGGGTTAGCTGGAGCAATCCATAAAAGGCACTAAAATCCACCAGAGGATACCAGAAGGAAGGCAAGGCTCAGCTGGGCTGGTGACCAGAGTCCATACCCAGTGTCCTTTCCAGTATGGCAGTTTCAAGGTCTTTGAACTTCATACATGTCAGCTCAGGGATGCTAAAAGAAATGCAAGCTTCCTTATGTCTTAATTTTGGAAATCCTAAAATATGACTTCCATGTTAAAATTGGAGCTATCTTGTAAAAGTAGCTGCCATTCAAGCATGGAGGATTAAACTCTAGACTCTCTACCTCTTTTATTTTAAATGTGTATCAGTACTGGGACTTGAACTCAGGACCTCACACTTGGATTTGGCTTTTTTTTCTTTAAAGCTGGTCCTCTACCACTTGTGCCACATTTCCACTTCTGGCTTTTGCTGGTTAATTGGAGACTAAGTCTCATAGACTTTTCCGCCCAGGTTAGTCTTGAACTGTGGTACTCAGATCTCAATGTCCTGAGTAGCTAGGATTACCAGCCTGAACCACCAGTGCTCAACTTGGACTCACATTTTGATGGAAAGAGAACAAAGAATGCATGGCTACCAAATAGCAGAGCCCCTGGAGCACAGCAATTATCCCTCGACTTTCTACATCACAAGCCTGAAAGTACTTTCACAGTGTGGTCTGCTCCTCTGAAATGAAAGATGATGATCACAGCCTAAGCTTTCATTAGATTCATGCATTTTGCAACAGTTCCATGCTTTCTTTATTCAGACACTGTTAATAGAAGCAACACTCCTTCAAAGAATTGCACTGGGAATAGGCATACCAGCATAAACAATGGGCATATTCAGGAATGTTGAGGAAAGGGAAAGTTGTAAAAGCAAAATGGGAGAAACTTAATTAGGTAGTTTGATCCAGAATTCATTGGTTTTGGAGATGGGAGGAAAGCACCAGAGGTGAGCTCACGCGTGGAGGTAGTGTTCCTGGGAAAGTGTTCTGTTACATGCATTCCATTTTGACTGTTGCAGTCTTATTGTTAAAGATAAATGGTGTTCTAGAAATTTGTGCATAGTGAGAAAATGGTGCAAAGCCCCGGGGTCCTGTAGAACAAAAAGAAATGTTATAAGCTTTTATAAAGTTTATGAGAAAATATCCCCTAAAGGCCCACTCATTACTCTCTGGCTACTATTTTGTCTGGGTCTGACAAAAACAATTTCAGAGTACAGGCTCATGCCTGTAATCCTGGCTACTCAGGAGGCTGAGATTTTAGTATTGCGGTTCGAATCCAGTCGAAGCAGGAAAGTCCAGCAGGCTCATCTCCAATTAACTACTAAAAAATCGGAAGTGGCGCTGTGGTTCAAAGTGGTGGAGTGCTAGCCTTGAGCAAATGAGCTCTAAGACAGGGCCCAGGTCTCAAGTTCAAGCCACATGCCTGGCTGGCTCAGATCTCAGCTTCCTGAGTAGCTAGGATTACAGGCTTGAGTCTCTAGCACCTGCTCGAACCAAATTATCTGCTCCTAGGCTTCTGATATTTTTACTTTTTAAACACAGAACCCAAATTTGGAGTTGAGTGCTTGTACAACTATTCAGGATCAATGCCCTGGTTTAGCTGATACTGCTTCTTCTGCTTTAAGAAACCTTTTGCTCTTTAGAGATGGTGAGAGACAGCTTCGATTTTTATCTAGACCACGGGTTCTATGGTGGTTGCTGCTCCCAGGCCAGGGGTAGTGGCTTAGACTTCCTGTTCATATGGTGCCCTGTCACCATTAGCTTTTGCCTTCTGCTCTGGGTAGCTGTAGCTAATTTATCTTCCTCTTGGAGAGGGGCCCAGGGTGTCGGCCAGGACCCGCCTGCTGCTCCTCCCACCATGGTCCCGGACTCCCGGAACTGGGAGGGATCGTTGGGAGGAGCCTGGGCGGAGGGGGGGCGCGGGGTAGTAGCCAACCCCGACCGTCTCCAGGAGACCCCAGAGGCCCCGTGGAGGCGAAGGCCGGACTGCCCGGGGCCACTGCCAGCCAGGCGCGTCCCGGGGTGCCTGGGGTGCGGGCGCCCGTCC